GGGGGGGGGGGTTTCCTAGAAAGACTCCAAACATCTTGCTGCACCTCACCAAAAAACAAAATCTCAATCTGGCAGACTTTCTTCTTATATACAATCACTAAGCTTAACTTTGATACCAAGTTTATCACCTAGAAAAAAATAAAAGGCGTACTGCTAAACGACACGGCTCAGATCTTTTGGCCACTTAGACATCAAATGATTGGTCACTGCCTTTTTGAGCTTACCATGAAAACACATTTAAACTAACTTTAGCAATAAATCTCTCTTTTTCTGTAAGTACATTTATTATTGCTGCTCTTTTAATACATCTGACACTAATTTGACACATCTGACACAACATTGTCTTTGTCAAGAGCACTTGGTGAACCCCAAATCTACTACTGTTTTCAGCTCAAACAATTTCAAAACTGTAAAAAACACCAAACAGTGGCAACCTCTTGTCCCCATGCCAGGCTCCCACCACGATTTTGATGATGAAGGAATGAGAACAGGTGGCCCAGTGGCTCCAGACGCATTGACACGCAAGTAATCATCATGACAGGGGGATTTGGACCCAGAGCAGACCGCCAGAGGAAACATGATATCCCCTAACATCATGCTGGACGTTTGTTCCACAATGACACGTTTTTCTGTGCTTGGACACACATTGCAAATACATAGGGTTTTTTAATAGTTTGTTTTTATTTTTTTAACCTCTGATTATATCACATTTTCACAATACACAGTATTCTGAAGTGTTATGCATGATGCAAAAATTTGGCGTTATTTCCTGTGATTGTTAAGTGAAAGTATAAAAATAATGCTGCAAGAACTCCTTGGTCACATTTGCACTCCTACAGCCTGGCAGTTACCTACAGTATACAAACTTCACCAACACCAACAGAGGAAACAATCACAGTCCTGCCCTGAGTGCTTTCTAGGAAGCGTAGAGACACTACAATGAGGAGCACTGGGCGAAAAACACAAGAACGACTTTGGACAAGAACACAACTTCTTCCAGGATTTCATAATTTGGCCTCTTTTTGTTCTTCAATGTGCGTACTGTAGACTTCTCTACAAATACCAGCTCAGGGCTCAGCATCTTTGAACTTAGTTAACTAAGCTGCCACTGATAGTGTATAAGCTCAACTTCCCCTCAACTAATCCCCTCGTAACGGTTTGCCTTGATAACCTTTTCCCTTCGTCTCTTCGCAGGCCCTTTGGCCTTTCCATAATTTCATCGTACATGTACAATGACAATAAAGGGCTATTCTATTCCTCTCTTTCAGTTGGTTTTTCTCTGCCTTCTGCACCAACTGGACCTTTAACCTTGCTCTATTTGTTATTCTCTTCAGCGTTCAAGTTCCTCCTCTCTGACCCTGGCTCAATTATTCCTTACTCGTTCCTTAGTGCGTCGTCAAAGAGTAAAGACCGCAGTTTTATAGCACTGGCTATGTTTTTTTCCCCTCATCGAACAGACATGCGGTGGCCTCCAGCTTTAGGACATCTCATCCTGACGCCAGCAGAGTAGCCCATCTCTTTTTTATTTGCCTCTTCAGTTACAAGAGAGACGATTGTTTAAGCAGAGCTGTGTTCCAGCCAAGACCTGCTATAAATCTGGGCTGATTTAGACTGCAGCAGCTTCCCGGAGAAGGCCATGGCTTTGGGCATACACTGAGATTTGATGTGCTTGATGGTCTGCCAGGGGATTTAGCTTAAGCTAGTGTAAGGATTTCAGTCATAACATTAATAATACAAATACTGCATCAATGTTGAAGCACATATAGTTACGGTTTGTGTGTCTAGGTGGAATACAGGGTAAAAAAAAAATCTACCTGGCTATATGTATTATTCAGGGGTTTTTTTTTTACATTATTTTATTTATAAAAAACTGTAAGGCAATGAAATCCTAGAAAACTAATGTCATTTCGCACTGACGCTGTCCAGAGCCAGTCTGACATAAATAATGGAGAAAAAGACACACTTATGTTACATTATACACATTGTCAAACCACCCAAGATTAACACCGGAGCTACCAGCTAAAAGTGTATGCATCCATAAGCTCCAAGTAGCATATCAGCCATCAGGGCATTTGCAAAGCTGGTCAACGTCCTGGGAGGAGCTTTGGGATCAATGGGCCTGCCAAGCGGCATTAGTCCTCCTAGCCCACAGGATCCGTCTCTGCA